TCAAATATTTAGGGGTCACCCTAGATAAGCGTCTTAACTGGAACACTCACCTGAATAATATAATTGGCAAAGCCACCCGGGTCATGTGGACATGTAGGACCGCATATGGTAGAACCTGGGGCATAAGTCCTAGAATTATATCATGGTTATACCGCACAATGGTCAGACCCATTGTATCCTACGCAGCTCTTGTTTGGTGGAATAAGGCGCAACAAAATGCTGCAATAGTCAAATGCAATAAACTGCAAAGACTCGTATGTATCGCTATGACGGGATCTATTAGAACATGTCCCACATCAGCACTGGAGTCCATAGTGGGTCTCACCCCTCTGCATCTCTTTATTAAAAAGACAGCAGCTATGAGCGCAGCTAGGCTACACCCTGTCATCGACATGCACGGAAGTCTCGTCAGTCAAAACTCTATCTGCAGACTAGTTCCTGGCATAGAGATCTGCGATAGGACAGATCGCATGAACATGGAACTTCGCTTCGGTAGGAAGTTCGAAGTCCTCTTACCCGATCGATTGGACTGGGTAAATGGCACTCCTGCATTTGAACCAAAAGTAATTTCGTGGTATACTGATGGTTCAAAAACCAAAGAAGGAGTTGGTGCTGGAATATTTGGTCCTAACACCAGAATCTCGCTCGCGCTGGGTATATGGCCCACTGTCTTCCAAGCAGAGGTTCACGCCATCGAGGTCTGCGCTCGTATCAACATTAACAAAGGGTTGAAAGGCGCCCGAATCTGTATTTATTCAGATAGTCAAGCAGCAATCAAAGCGTTATGCTCCTGGAAGTTTTTCTCAAAGCTTTTAGCAGACTGTTATGACACACTGCAGCAGCTGGCAAGCAATAATAAAGTGACACTGTGCTGGGTGCCTGGTCACACAGGAATTCATGGAAATGAGTCTGCCGATAGTCTTGCATGGGCAGGATCCGCCACTCTAATCTGTGGCCCAGAACCTTTCTGTGGATTAAGTTGGTCTACAACTAGGTCTCTAATCAATGATTGGATCTCAACCGAGAGAAGTCGCTACTGGTGCGACAGTCGAGGTAACCGTCAGGCTAAACAGCTGGTTCTCCCTTATAGTTACAATAAGATATCCTCCTTCAGCAGAACAGAGTTGAGGTTGCTAGTGGGATATCTAACGGGTCACCATGGGCTACGTTACCATCTCAACAAAATGGGCCTGTCTGAAGAGATAGATTGTAGACTCTGCTTGGAGGTAGAGGAGACAACCAGCCACATTCTATGTGACTGCCCAGCTTTGATCTGGGCCAGGAGGAAATCACTGGGTCGGGAATTGCTTTCACCTTCCGATATTAGGAAGTCCTTAACAACCGACATTTTGATCTTCGTTCGAAAGGCGGAATGTCTTTTGTTCAGTTAGGGTCTGTTGTAGCACAAAAGATCAATCATGGTCGCAGTGCTCTGCTCAAATGGGAGCTAGTACCCTGTTATTTCCTATTCCTATTCCTATATTTTTATTATACTAATTATTTTTGTATTATATTATTATTACATATATTAATATATATATTACGTTTTTATATGTTTTTATACATTATTCTTGCCTTAAAATAAACCTACTGGAAAAAAGTAATGTCGCAATTGACTTCTTAATTAAATATTAAATATATATACATATATGTATGTTTTATATATTTGTATTCGTAAATTATTTATTGCCGAACATTAAATTATACAAAAATTTGCACTTCGAAGCTCCTTCATTGGTTCTCTGACTAGCTTCATTCTGCATAAGCTCATCAGATTCTTCGTCGTTGTCATGTACATAATCCACGTGTTCCGTATCATCACATGAAGGTCGCAAAATGTTGTGCAATATGCAACAAACAAGGAACCAATTTGAACAAAAATTATGACTCGTATCATTCTGAATACGGATTCTTAACTCCTTAAGACTACCGAAGCGTTCCTTCAGAATTCCAAAACAATGTTCAATCCTTACACGAAATCTGCTATGGCGTAAGTTAAAAGTTTCACGTTTGGAGTAGTCAAGCTGTTGGAAGTTTGACCGAAACGGAGTTATAAGAGTTTTAAGTAATGAATAAGCAGAATCGTCTGCGAACCATTGTTCTGAAGAAAAAAAAAATTTTCTTGGATGCAGAGAGCGCTTGTAAGAAACATGCGAGCATCATGTGTACTTCCAAAGTGACCAACTGCGACATGTCGAATCTTCAGCTGATGGTCACATACGACTTGTGATTTTATTGAATACACTCTATTTTTTGAAAAATAGGATGTATGGTTTACCACTGGTGCTTTGGCAAGTTTTATTTCAGTACTGTCAATATCCAATGCAATGTGGAAGTTCATGATAGGTTTTCTCCACTTTATCTTGTCGTTCAACTACATCTGGCCACGTTATAAATTTGGTTTGCAGTTCCAGTATGGAGCGAAAGACTCTTCGGGTTATCTAATAAATTGTTTCCCCATTTCCAAATTCAAATAATGTAGCGACTTTGCGAATAGCCGCATTTTCGCCTGATAAACCCAAACGATATAAAACAATAGCAAGTTGAAGATCGAGCGGGAATTGTTGAATTGAATGTAAATTAGTGAACTCCGTGCTAGTGTTTATTAGTGAGAGTATTAAAGAAAATTCGTTCCAATTTACTCTAAGCATCTGACAAAAACGGCTTTCATCAAATTCTTGAAGAATGGTAGATCTCTATTGAATAGATTTTGGTACGGGTTGGTGATTTCCGTGATGGTTTACTAAAGTAAACAAAAGGTCTTCATTTAATTGCTCCATCACTTCCCAGTAATTTGCATCATCTAACAAATAGAAACTATACAGTAGTAAAAACTACATAATCAATTGTTATAATCTAGTATGTTTTGCATTAGTTTAAGCAATCTTAAATAATGAAATGTAAACAAAATTTAGTTAAATATAAACTGTCAATCTTGTCGGTTGTATTTACTTCAGTTGGCGACGAGGATAAAAATCTGCAATTATTCAATCGCTTTCACGCTTATTTCGTACCGTTCAATTTTACATACAATCATGCCGGGCGAAAGTGAAATTTATAAGCAATTGCTTAAAGAACAACAAGAGTTCTCAAAAAATTTACTGAAACAACAACGTGAGTGGATGGACTCAATGTTCCAAAAACAAGGTACTGCCGGTGTATCTGAAAGAAATAACAACATTGTTCCAGTATTTCACAAATTTTCGAAAGAACAGCAAACCTGGGAATCGTACTTAGAACAACTTAACCAACATTTTTTAGCATATTCAGTTCAGTGCAGTGAAAAACAAAAATCATTTTTCTTGTCTTGGATTGGCACAGAAAATTTTGAGCGGCTAAAAAATCTTTTCGGTAACACGAAAGTACAAGAACAATCTTTCGAAAATTTAACGAAAAAACTAACGGATCATTTCCAGTCGAAACGACATGTGGTCGCTGCACGTTACGATTTTTTCAAAAGGGAAATGAAGCCACATCAATCATACAGAGAGTGGGTAGCAGATCTCCGCGGATTGGCAAGAGAGTGTAACTTTTCGTGCTCAGCCCAGAATTGTTTACACAATTTCGTGGATGATATGATTCGTGACCAAATTATTATACGTACACCTCACGATGCAGTGCGCACGGCTGCGTTCCAAAAGCCCCAGCCGACACTTGCTGATGTTTTGCAGATTGCAGAATTGTACGAAACAACCACTAAAACGGTGGCAACAATTAAAGAACAAACGATCGAAAACTCAATGCCTGTTAATTCAGTTGGTACAATTATAAAAAAATCGGGTGTTTTCAACAATAACAATAATAAAGTAAAATTCAAATCATGTTCTGGCTGTGGAAACTCTCATGCAAGAGAAAACTGTAAATTTAGAAATGCTGTTTGCAATAGATGTAGCAAAATTGGACATATTGCGCCAGTGTGCATGTCAAAACAAAACAAGAACAACAAACGTAATTTAGGTGATGAAAACAAGAAGAAAGATTACCGTCGTAAAAGTCACAACATTGGTACTGTTGAAACAATTAACAGTTTAACAGGTATTGTAAAAACTGAAAGCAATAAGAATTACATTGACTTGGAAATTTGCAATAAACTTGTATCTTTCCAAATGGATTCTGGTGCAACAGTTTCTTTAATAAATAAGCGAACATTCAAAACTCTAAATTGCCCAAAGTTGCGAAATTGTACAAAAACCTTATTTGGTTTTGGCAAAAATGAAATTCCAGTGCTTGGTGAACTTTGCGTAGATATCAAATGTGGCGGAAAAGAAAGGGAAGTGGTAATCGTTGTCGTGGATGTCGAAAACTGTAACAATTTATTCGGTTTCGATTTATTTAAAGAATTCGGGTTTGAGATTCAACAAATTTGTAACATTACTGAAAGTGAATCACACAGAATTAGCGAGCTGTGTAAGAAATATGGTGATATTTTTGAACCAGCTCTTGGCACAATAAAAAACTTTAAGGTCAGTATTTTTTTTAAAGCCAAATGCACATCCGAAATTTTACAAAAGCCGACAAATTCCATTTTCGCAAATGTCACTTTTCAAGAAAGAAGTCGATCGATTGACAAATGCGGGTATTTGGAAACCTGTGAAGTTTTCCCAATGGGCTTCGCCTATTGTACTAGCGCCAAAAGCTGATGGTTCCATAAGAATTTGTGAGGATTTTAAACAAGCAGTCAATGCGCAAATTGACATTGAACAATATCCTTTGCCCATACGCGAAAGTCTTTTCCATAAAATTAATTGCGGTCAACATTTTACAAAAATCGACCTTAAGGATGCGTATTTACAAATGGAACTCGACGATGAAGCAAAAACAATAATGGTTGTCAACACTCCACTTGGGTTATTCCAATACCAACGTTTACCGTTTGGAATTGCAAGCGCTCCAGCTATATTCCAAAGATATCTTGAGCAGTTACTTCAAGGCGTAGAAGGTTGCGGTAATTATCTCGATGACATCATCATCTCCGCACCTACATTCCAACAACACATCAGCCGCCTAGAACAAGTACTTCGTATTTTGCAACAAAATGGTATCAGGTGCAAGCAAGAAAAATGTTTCTTTCTGCGAGATAAAATCGAATATCTCGGGCGTCAAATTAGTGCAAAAGGTATATTGCCAGATGAGTCAGGACTAAAAGCAGTCAAAAACCTGCAGCCGCCTAAAGATCTAAAGCAAACAGAAGCATTCATGGGTAAGGTAAACTATTACCATAATTTTATACCTAATTTTTCGCAATTATCCGCGCCAATCAACATGCTGCGCCGAAAAAATGTAAAATTCACATGGGGTACAGCACAACAACAAGCATTTATAGCTCTTAAAACGCATATTCTCAATGCAGCGCAATTAGCACATTATCAGGAAGATTTACCGTTGGTTCTAGCTACAGATGCCTCCTCCTATGGCATAGGAGTCGTGCTCTCGCATACGTACGTTGACGGTACAGAAAGGCCTATTGCTTTTGCATCTAAAACTCTCGACATTCATCAACGACGATATAGTCAGATAGAGAAGGAAGGACTAGCTATCGTTTTTGGAGTCAAGCGTTTCCATCAATATTTATACGGAAGAAGATTCACCTTGGTTACTGACCACAAACCTCTTGTTAGCATTTTTAATCCAATTCATCAGTTGCCGTCGATGACGTCACATCGTTTACAGCGATGAGCTATTATACTAATGGCTTATCAGTATGATGTTCGGTATCGTAAAACTACTGAGCATGGAAATGCCGATGCTTTATCTCGTTTACCTGTTGGTGAAGACAAAACTTTTGATCATGAAGAATCCTGTTTCAACATCAATGAACTTAACACACCTATCGACGCTGAAATAATTCGTCAGCATGCCAAAAATGACCCAATTCTTCGCCGAGTTTATTTTCTCGTTACAAACGGTTGGCCTGAAAAGCTAATGCCTCAAGATGCTGATCTTCGATCATTTTTCAATCATCGCTTTGCTTTAATACTAAACAACAATTTGCTTTGCCTCCAGACGGAGTACAACCGGGTTGTCATTCCAGCCTCCCTTAAGCAGAAAATTCTTAAACTTCTTCATGATGGTCATTGGGGAGTATCGAGAATGAAACAGCTAGCTCGACAACATGTCTGGTGGACTAATATTGACAAAGACATCGCACAATTAACTGAAAATTGTGATGTGTGCAAAATTGCAAATCCTGTTCACACACGTGAATACTTAAGCTGGCCTGAAGCTGATCGACCTTGGGAGAGAGTACATATCGACTTTGCTGGTCCATTTTGTAATTCAATGTGGCTAATTTGTGTCGACGCTTTCTCACAATTTCCGTTCGTTGTACAACTATCTACAACAACAACGGCTGACACCATATCAGCATTGTTTTCTATATTTTCTCTGGAAGGTATACCAGAAACCATCGTAAGTGACAATGGTCCGCAATTTACAGCTGAAGCATTCAAACATTTTTGCTCAAAACTTGGCATCAAACATATAACAACAGCGCCGTTTCATCCAGCCTCAAACGGGTTAGCCGAACGATTCGTCAGATCTTTTAAAACTGCTGTTAAGAAAAACATTGACGATGGATTGTCTCTCAAATTCGCTGTATCAAAATATCTTGCAACATATCGTGCAATGCCGAATGCTGAAGGTAAATCACCTGCAGAACTTTTACATGGAAGGCCTGTTCGTACCTTGTTGAGTCAACTGTTTGAATCGCCTAGAAAGCACCTTGAAGCTTCGAAACGGAAAATGAAATTCAGTCTAAAGCAACCCGTCTCCGCTCGAAACTACGCAAGAGGGGAAAAATGGATAAAAGGAGTTATTGTAAAACAACTTGGTAAAATGGTTTACAGAGTGAACACATCTTTTGGTTACATCAAACGTCATGTTAATCAGCTTAAAACTAGAAGTAGCTCTGACCTCTCTTCACAACCAATTTTTGAATTCGCTCCAAATTTCATCAATGCCACACCGCCTTCATCTAGCCAATCAACATTAATGCCTAGTGAAGAACGTTCTACCGAAGTAGTTCAACTTCGAAAAAGTTGTCGTATTCGGAAGGATGTAAATCGATTTGAATCCGACGATTTCAGGAAAACTTAAACCTTGTCAAAAATTAAGGGCGGAGAAAGTGTTATAATCTAGTATGTTTTGCATTAGTTTAAGCAATCTTAAATAATGAAATGTAAACAAAATTTAGTTAAATATAAACTGTCAATCTTGTCGGTTGT